ACTCGTCCAGCTGTAGGAGCTCGTCGCCCTCCTGAAAGCTGAGCTCGGTTTCGTGCTGCGCCGTATAGCTCTTGATGGCCCGCACATGGCGCGGGGCCACCTTCTCCTTCTTGCTGAACATGGTGCTGAGCCTTCTGGGTCGGCTTCGTGCAACCCACGGCCGCGCACCGACAGAGCCGGCGGGGCAACCATCGGCCACTGTGGCGTCGCCTTGTCTCATTCTTGCGAGGTCGCGGTCGACGTGCTGTTTCACCTTCATGAAATAGTTGACGTTTTTAATCTATTTTGTAAAAGAGAAAAGTAAAGAAATCGAAAAGTAAATCCTAAATGCACATTTCATTTTGGCGCGAAACTCGCAAACGGTTGAGGTTGCCCGTTTGTGTTTGTGTTGGCTTTGCGCGGGCGAATTTCTGGACCTCCGTGACAACAGACACATTCGATCTCTCGTTTTAGCGTTCGATCAAGCTCGAGGCTTTGCCAGAAGAGCGTGTTTTATAAAGAAGCAGCAATCGATCAGGTCCTCCTTTTGCGAAGACCGATTCCATTCACAACCACCATTCGATCCTCCTCGCTACGACCCTCCTCGCGTGAATCGTCTGAAAGGATGAGCACCGATGATGTAAAGAACTACAAGCTGCAGGCCCGGCTGCCGGTGGCACCCAAAAGCCCGCTCAGGACCCAGTCCTCGTCAACCATCCGCGTAGCCAAGCGTACAGTGCCTCGAACGGACGGCACTGCTGATAGGGCTGCGATGAGGTACCCCTCCTCATCTTTGCCGTCCGTCAAAAAAGAGCCATTTTGAAGATGTACTGACACGCTGCCGTCGAATTCGTACAGGCCGCCCAGCGTGGGTAAGTTGATTGAAAGGCGGAAAGCTGATCCCGAGACAGGGGAGGTTAGGGTTCTTCAGCGATTCAAGCAGACGAACTTCCTCGGCAAGGTAAGAATGGATCTATCCTATGATGCGGCATTCAGGAGTGTTAATCCTGGATTCTTCAGGGAGGCTTTGCCAAGGTGTACACTGTGATCGAGCAAGACACGCAAGAGATCTACGCCGCTAAGGTGATTGCGAAGTCTTCTCTGCAGAAGAAGCGCACGAAGGACAAGGTACGTCCGACCATCCCGTAGGGATCTTGATCTCCCGGGAGAGTGATGCTAAGATCCTTAATCTGCGTTGTAGCTTGCGAGCGAGATTAGAATCCATTCCATGCTCAAGCACAAGCACATCGTCAAGTATGTGATGTTTTTCGAAGATTCGACATCTTGTTACATCTTGATGGAGCTGTGCAACAACAAGGTACGCTTGCACTGCTGGTTGTGCTATGGTCAATGATGCTCTTACTCACCGTGGTCTTCTCTTCGTCCCGTCAGAGCTTGGCGGACTTGATCAAGGCGCGCAGGCGGTTAACGGAGCCCGAGGTGAGGTTTTACATGATGCAGCTGCTGGAGGCTGTCTCCTACATGCACAGCAAGCGCGTGATTCATCGCGATCTGAAGCTGGGCAATATCTTCCTCAACGACGACCTCCACATCAAGATCGGCGACTTTGGCTTGGCCACCCGGCTCCAGCACGAGAACGACCGACGGAGGTTCGTCTCCGAAGAGAGCCTCTCCTTCACCCCTCTCCCCTCTCTCATGTGGACACTCATCGGTGAGTGCGTTACAGGACTCTCTGTGGCACGCCGAACTATATCGCCCCCGAGATCCTGGAGCGTGGCGACAATGGACACAGCTACGAGGCCGACATCTGGAGCGCGGGTGTCATCTTGTACGATCAAGACGTCCATCGTGGAGCATTACTTGTACTCTGCACCTTGACTGACGGCTGACCTTATTCACCACGTCTCTCAGGTATACTCTCCTCATCGGCAAGCCTCCATTCGAAACGAACTGCGTACAGGCCACGTACAAGCGCATCAAGGAGAACGATTACGCCTTCCCCGAAGGTGTAGAGATCTCGCACAGCGCCAAGAGCCTCATCCGAAAGATTCTCACGTCGATCCCCGAGGAGCGCCCGACGCTGCAGGAGATCATGAGCGACGAGTTCTTCAACAGCTACATCCCTCACTCTCTCCCAGTCTCTGCTCTCTCGACCATCCCCACCTTCTCCTCGTCCCGCATGGCCCAGGACGCCAGCGGAGCTCCTCGCCTCCCTCTCAACGACAGAACGAACACGCTCACAAGCACGGTGCCCGGAGGTAAGGAGAAGAAGAAGGTGGAGGACGTCATCGCCGAGGCCAAGGCCCAGATCGCGCTGGCCACCAAGCCCATGTCTGCGCACCCGCTCCCGATCGCAAGGGCCGTCGCGACGCACATCGTCACCAGCCCGGCCGGCGACATCGCCGACATCTTCGATACGAAGAAGGCCAAGCACGCAGCACAGCCCGAGGAGTTCGGGATTGAGAATCGTGAGCCCGGCGCTCTGTCCACCACCGACGCCATGGTCGCCGACAGCATGGGCACCCGCAAGAGGCTGAGGTCTCCCTTCAGGAATGCCAGCATCGCCGACAAGAGCCCCACCAAGCAGAGAGCCCGTCGCTCGCACCTCAGTACGCCCCCCCGGGCCCTCTCTCTAGCTCTGCGTGCGTTGCGCTGGTGATCTCAACGAAACTGATTTTTTTGTTTTTTCCCATCTTCGCACCACTCCACCAGACCCCATGTCTACGTGCAAGCGATTGATCGACGACTTTGAAGGCAAGGAGGAGGAGAAGAAGGACGTCAAGCCCAGCTCCTCTGGGCCTGCCAAGAGGATCAGCACGCAGGCCCTCGTGGCGGTGGAGACCGATAAGTCGTCGAGGCAGGCCGAGAACGATGACGAGGACAACACCAACACCAACACCAACAAGAAGAACCAACGTTGCGAACAGAACGAGGAGAACGACATGGACGAAGAGGACGAGGAGGCCGACGAGCGGGTGACGATCCGCGTGCACAGGACGCTCACCGAGAGTTTTGCGCGCCTCACGATGGCCGACCGTACCGAGGCCACCCTGGACGGCGTGTCTCGGGCGCCCGCCACGCTGGCCTCGATCACCCACCTCAACGCGTTCGACGACATCAAGAACGGGCTGGTCTACGGTGAGGGCGAGAACAGCAACGTGTGCTGGGTGCGCAAGTGGTTCGATATCTCGGATCGATACGGCCTGGCCTACCAGCTTCAGGACGGATCGATCGGCGGCTACTTCAACGACAGGACCTCGATTATGCGAAGGTGTGCCGAGCCCGACACCGGCTCCGGGTGGAAGATGGAGAACGAGTTCGTCTACATGTCCTACAAGAGCACTCGGAGGTGCGTTCTCGCTACTGCGCCATCGCACACGCACAACATACATCACCATACACGTACACGCACATAGTTTGCTAATGTCGCTTCGTCGGTGTGTGTAGGGGCAAGCGACAACACACGGAGCGCTATTCGATGGACAAGTTCCCGCAGGAGCTCTACAAGAAGGTGCAGTTGCTGAAGTACTTCCAGAAGCTCTTTGACAAGGAGAACAAGTCTACTTCCACGCTGGTTGACCTCGCCCCCGAGGAGTACGAGAGGACGCGCTCGGCGCGAAGCTCTGTGCTCCACGTCGACCGCTGGTTCAGGAGGAAGCACGCCACCTTCTTCCGCCTCAGCAATCGCATCGTTCAGGTTCGTCTTCTTCTCTTCTTTCTTCCACTACGTCATCTTCATCCTCGATTCATCATCTCATTTTTCTTTCTTCTTGTTCTTTTGTCCAAACAGGTCAACTTTACGGACGAGTCGAAGGTCATCCTCTCGTCGGACGGCAAGATGGTGACGTACGTCGACAAGCAGGGCGAGGTGCACGTGCAGACGTTGGAGGCCATCGTCCTCAACCCCAATCCGTCGATCATCAACAGGCTCAAGTACACGCGCGACATCCTGGGCGATCTCCTCCGCACAAAGGAGTCCCGGAGCTCCAGCAGCAACGACTTTTAAGTAGGTCGTTGCGTTGCGACTCCCCCACCTGTACCCCAAAAACCAATAAAACCAAATAAAACCAAATCAAAAACAAAGCATTATCTAAAAAACATTTGTTATATTTATATATTTATATGTTCGAGATGGGATGGTGGGGTGGTTGGTCAGCGCTCGGCCTGGGAGTGCGGCGGGCGTGGGACCCACTTGAGCAGAGCGCGGCAGAGGGCGCCCTGGTCGAAGGGCTTGGACATCCAGTCGTCCATGCCGCTGTCCAGGCACACCTGCCGGTCGCTCTTCACGCACGACGCCGTCAGCGCCACGATCGGCGTGCGCCCGCGCTGCTCCGCCCTCTCCATCTCTCTGATCCGCCGCGTCGCCTCATAGCCATCTGTCATCAATCGACGCACGTCGTGTAAGCAAACGAACGATCGACACCATACACACACACACACACACTTCTCTGAGAAGTGAGGGGAGGGTACCAAGGACGGGCATCTGGCAGTCCATGAAGATGAGGGAGAAGGACTCGCGCTCGAGCATGTCAATGCACTCCTGGCCGTTCTCGGCCACGTGCACATCGCACCCGATCCGCTCCAGCAGACGGCGGCCGACCTTCTGGTTGACCACGTTGTCCTCCACGAGCAGCACCTTCATGCCCTCGAAGCTGTGGCGCGCCTGCTGCGGGTGCGGCACATCGCTGCCGCTGCCGCTGCCGCCGCCGGATCCCGGGCTGACCGGCGGGGCCTCAGGCTGCGATCCGGCCAGGTCGCAGGCGGCCACCTGGGTCGAGTCGCAGTCGGCGCCGACCGCCTCCGGCGAACTGACCGGCAGCGGGAGCGTGAACCAGAAGGTGGAGCCCTTGTTCACGCCGGCCGACGAGCAGCCGATCCGGCCGTGCATCGCTTCCACGAGGTGCTTGCAGATGGCCAGACCCAGGCCCGACCCGCCGTACTGGCGACACACGCCCGTCCCGCCCTGCGAGAAATGCTGCACACCGACCACCCCAAAAACGTGAGCTAACGTGAGCTGACGTGTGCTGACGTGGCAAGATCGGCCAGGTGGTGCGGGGAGTACCTTAAAGAGGTTCTTCATGGTGGTCTCGGGGATGCCGATGCCAGTGTCCCGCACCTCGACGCGCAGACTACTGGCGTCGGTGGTGTCGGCGTCGGTGGTGTCGGCGTCGTCGCCGGCGTCGCCGAGCGAGAGAGTGACGGTGCCCATGGCCGGGGTGAACTTGACCGCATTGCTGAGAGAAGTGGTGGTTGAAGGAGGAATGGTTGGTTGAATAGGAGACTTAAATCGGTTGAATAGGAGTTAAAAAAGTACCTTAGAAGGTTGAAGAGGACCTGACGGAAGCGCAGCGGGTCGCCGACGCGGAAGCGGTGGCCCGGGGCCAGCCCGGCGGTCTGCTTCTCGATGCGCACGCGGCTGGAGGCGGCCGGGAAGGCCAGCATGGAGAGGACCAGGTCGGTCTCCTTCTCGACATCGAACGGAATGGCCTCGAGGTCGAGCTGGCGCGATTCGATCTTCTCAAAGTCGAGCACGTCGTTGACCAGGCCCAGCAGGTGCCGCGCGCAGGTGACGATGATGCGCACGGCCTCCATCCGCTCCTCGTCGCTCTGCGCCTGAGTCCGGGCGCTGCCGCCGCGCAGGTGGCACTGCTCCTGGTCCTGGTCGGGCGCGGCGGGCGAGGCGGGCCGCGACGGCGGCGGCTGCTGCTCGGCCTTGTCCTCGTCTTCGAGCAGCAGCTCGTTGGCCATCCCGATGATCCCCGTCAGCGGCGTGCGCAGCTCTGTAGTTTGGAATGTGTGGAATGTGAGTTATCTGAATGTGGAATGCTGCGAATTCTTGTGTGTGTCGTGTGTCGTGTGTACCGTGGGTGATGGCGGAGAGGAAGAGGGTCTTGGCTTCGGTGGACCGGCGCAGCTTCTCGTTGAAATCGCGCAGTCGGTCGACGGTGGCCTGGCGCGACGATTCGTGGATGTGGGAGATGATGCCCACGCACATGATCATCGTGCACGTCGCCGTCAGTCGGTCGGTCGCGTCCATCGACAGCGGCGCCACCGGCGGAAACACGTACACGCTGCACGGGTACAACAACACACCTGATGTGCATCCGACACACACCACACGTCAGCACACGCGTGTCGTGTCGTGTCGTGTGTGTGTCGTCGTGTGTGTGTTACCTTCGAGAAGGACGGCAATAAGAAAGACGCGGCTGATGTGGCGTCCGAAGATGTAGTAGGCCATGGCGACGACGGCGGCGAGCCACATGTAAAACTCGGAGAGGATGCCAAAGTAAATGCACGCGCCGCAGATGCCGACGTCGATGTAGATCAGGAA